ATGAGTTTGGCCAGAGTTTGGGATTTGGGATGCCCAATCCCAAACTATAATAGTTTGGGATTTTGCCAACATGTATAAGTATCCATTGTTTTTTTCAACTCCTTTAACAAAGTAATCCCATACTTCAGAAAATGAACAGGGTTTGTGCTTATTTCGTGGTATATTTTTTAAACTTGATGGTTGTGTAACCATCAAAATTTGTAAAAATTGAGAGTTAGAAGTATCTGTCGTTGTGGTAATGGTTGTTGCTATCTGCGTTCTGGTGTCTTCTTTAGCTTCTGAACTAAATTCTTCGCTTTCTAGAGACAATCTATGTCTTTTTCTTGAACTTTCCTCATTTATCGCACTTTCCTGGTTCATTTCTTTGAACTAAAATTTTGACAAAATCATAAGATTTAATGAATATTAAATGATTATCTATGTTACACATATACTATATCACATGTATTTTCCATTCGTACCTTTGAGAGGTTTTAAGTGAGATGTAACTTGGTCCTCAAACGATCTATCATAAGGTAATTACATTTACAATAATTAGATTTTTTATCCTGTATTTATAGTTATATTAATTCTTTATCAGACATCCTGACTATTACTTTCGTTCAATCTTTTAAGATACATTAAAATACTGTATTATTGAATTCTGAACACCACCCATATATTGTATATACTTCAATAGACTTATCATCACATTCTTTGCATTAATTAGCCAATTCCATCCTTTCATTATTTCGAACTACCCATATATCGGCATGTATAGTAAATTTTTAAATCCATGATTTCAATTCTCACACGTATAAAATAATTTAAATCTGAAATAATATGATGTCGTTCTTTCAATTCCAATTTTATTTGACTATGAATGTGAATAATATTTGCTATTGTCTTTATTTTACTTATTGTTTGTTTGATTTTTTTTTATTATTTTTTTTTTTATAGTTGGGAGAGCAATTTATGATTCTAGCCAATTTAACTCAATACCGTAAGCATAAAATATAAGGAACTAATGATTTATTTTAATGTGCAAATACTGAAAAGTGTAAGCGATACAAGTAAGTATCTTCTCTAAAGTGTACCCAGTACACGAATATTCCTTTCCAAAATACTAACAAACAAATCAATATCTAACTCAAGAACTAACTCATTCAAGAACTAACTAAAGAAAGATCTATCTATTAGTAATCGCTAACTCTATTTATATACTTTCTATTAGACTCAAATTAGCTATTATACAAAATGTAAAGTATGATCTAACTCTAAAATGTCGTAATAAGCTATTAAAATATTACACAGAAAAGTATAATAGTTACGTACGAAATTTTTCGTAACATTGTTTAAAAACCAGCATATTACAGGTACGTATCTTACTTCTCAAGTACTATAGTCTGGGAATATACCAAATTTGGAAATCGGGTTCTAGAAGGATCTACAAACAGGTTCGTGCATTTGATTGGTCGTCATATTTCTTTTTTATGCATGTATTCAGGCTGGGGTTTTACCAAATTTCATATATCTAAACGATATACGAATAGATAATAAAAGCGACAAATCTCAGTAATCTCAAATAATCCCACAAAGTAAGTTGTCTACAAAAAGGTAAATAAGACCTAAAGTTAAAGCTTTATATTATATACTTTTAGATCAAAGAAAGTAATTTTAAATAATCTTTTTATAGTGTTCACTTACCAGAAGTCAAGAACAACATGCATTTCGTTCAATAGACTGGAAGAACAAATTTAGTCAAAAATCGAATAACTAATAAAGGATATTTCGATAAATAAATATAGAAGTGCAGAGACCATTTTTTTATTGGATTTATTGTATAGCAGATTTTTAAGAAATTGTTTTTTAATAATTACTCAATTAATTGCAGCACTTTTACGTTGTAAAGCTGCTTGAAAATACTCTAATTCAAGTTTGTGAAAATTTACTTTGCTTATTAATTATTTTTAATTATTCTATTCTGGTAGTATTTGGAATAAGTATTTAGATTATTCTTAAACAGCTCCTTTGATGTGATTTGCTAGTGAATGAAATGCATAATCATTTTGATTAATCGAAATTAATTAAAGTGATCGCTATAATACATAATGATTTGCCAGAAAATTCAGTATACAAAATGAGCAGATTTTAGTCAATCAGAGTAACTTTATGAAAAAGATGGTTGTTAGGTCCAGGTTTTTTAGATCAAAATGATTAAACATGATCCATTTTTTAACTAATCAGACATCTTATTAACCATAGAGGAAGGTGCTTGAAAACAACTTTAGACTTATAAAACTTTATGCCACATAAGTATTTATTTATTTAAGCAAAGTAATTATTGGGAATCAACTATTTAAGATTTACATTGCTTATTTAATTTCTATTCCTATTATTCCTCTTATATTTTGACCACTCTTATATCCATATTTTATTCTTTATATTTTCAGTTTATCTTAGGGTATTTTCAAGTACATCTATTAATAGACCCAACAATGAATCTAATTTGTCTGTTACTAATCAGATTTATTATCGAATTCGTTGAGAGAAGCACTTGAGAACACTCTTAATCACTGTATTTGTCGAATTTATTGAGAGAAGTGCTTGAGAACAGAACAGGTAGTGTGCATTTCACCAACAATCACTTTACTGATAGCTTAGTTCACCGACAATAACTTACTGACAAGTTCATTTCACACAATTATTTTACTGACAGCTTATTTTACTGACAGAGTGATTTTGGTCATTGTTGTTAGCATTAGAGTTATGGTTAGTGTAATTTATAAAAAATACTTGTCGGTGAAATGAGCTGTAAGTGAAATAATTGTCAGTGAAATGAACTTGTTAGTAAGTTAACTGTCAGTGAAATGAACTTGCCTGTGAATTAATTGTCAGTGAAATAACATACATCTGTCTGCTGTGTGAATATTTATTAATCCAGTAATTAATTCACCTTATTTTATTAATTATGTTAATTTGAATACGCATTTATTGCAATTTAAATTAATTATATTATTTTTATTTTAATTAATAAATTAAATTATTTTTAATAAAAAATACTGTATATGATTTTAAATAATTTTATTTAATTTGATTTTTAATTGTACTTGTGAAAAAACTCTATTCGAGATATATAAATAGTAAATTCTATCTGAGCGTAAGTATTCATTATCTTAAATTAAATCTATTTATTACATTAATTTTGAAATCCTAGTTTACACGATAAAAAATTTTTTTTCAATAAAAACTCAAATCAATATTGCTAATTGGCTTGTTTTTAATAACATATGGGAACGCTCATAGCAAAAGCAAGGAATAGGACTATATATTATATAGTTCCATCCCCTGCTTTTGCTGCGGCTATCCCTATATATTATTTTTAAATCTTTATTAAGTACAGTAAAACGCATACACAAGACCCGGGCCTATACCATTTCATCAATTTTAAAACTTTAAATAGATCCCGGGTTAGTGTTGAACGATATAATAGTATAATGGTTATAGATGTTAAGCACTATTAAAAAAAAACAAAATCTATGTTATAATCTCGAAATAAATACAACACCTATTTTATCTGAAATTACTTATTTTATTGTTCTTGATTGTGAACAGTAAAAAATTTATGCTATGCGCAAATTTATAATAGTATAATACTCTAGGTATATATTGCTGGAAAGCTATATATCGTGAAAAGAAAAGTTTAAAATATATACACGTTGTGTATTTATAATAAGCAGTCCAACTATTTAGAAAAAAGCGCTCTCATAAAATTTTTTTATACATAGCAATTTCATATCATATAACACGTAGAATATTCGAAAGAAAAATCCAGAATAATCGTGACTGATGATCATTACTAATAAGGTGCGATCATCAATAACCAAATTTGGTATATTCTCGAACTGTACTAGCAGTTTTAGCACAAACTAACACAATTATATATCAAAGTAATTTGGCAATCCACGAGATAATTCAAAAGTTAGAAGTATTTTTATTTTACTTGTTATATTAAGGAAATGCATTGGAATGTGGTGAGATCCGTTAGCACCCTCGGATTTATACAAAATATACCAATTCAAATCATACAGTATACAGAACATGGCAATTGATAAAGAACCATAAAGAAGTAGTCTATTTTCTTATTTTATTGCCCTTAAATCAACTTCAGAAATTTAAATTATCCTTTTAATGGATAGTCAAAATAATCACGAAAGCAAAAGAATGGTCATGAAGAGTAGCTATAGGGCATTTTTTTTAATTTAGTGTCATTTAGACTATGTAAGAATTTCTAACAAAAAAAGGTATATAATAAAGTAGTGGCTATAATATTGTATATAAAACAACTACGTGCCTAACAATTACTTTCCTAATTTTAGGAAGGAATTGTTAACAAGATATTCGGATAAAGTAACCTGTAAATAAATACTGTAGATCTGATATTTAGTTAATTTATTTCAACATTTATAAGGAACCATAACCTGGACCTTAGTATATTCTAAACTCATGCCTAAAAGCAACAACTAGCATAGCCCAAGGTTAATTTATATATTGAGTTTAGTTTTTTTGACTGCTTATACTTCTCTATGCCGGCATGTCATACTACACTATTTATATTATTGCGTCAAATATTATGTGTAACATTACACTATACTACTTATGTCACTACGTCAAATGTCATACACTACACTACTTATATCACTACGTCAAATGTTATATATCACGTCACACTACACTACTTACGTTACTACATCAAATGTCATACGTCATGTCACTTACGTCACGTCAATATGACCCTTAGGGTAGTATATCATCTACGTCATAGCTATAATGCCGTAAGTAGTGACTACTCTTAGAAATGTCCCCACCTCTAGTCAAAAGTAAATTTTGACAAATAAATAGTTTTAGAACTACTAATCAAAAGAATAAGAAGAAATAAGATAGACAAAAGAATTAACATGACAGAAGAAAATATTAAAGGGTATTCTTTTGATGGATGGACTACATGAGAACGAAAGAATGTTTGAACTGGAGAGCCAACATAAGTATGAAAAGATGAATGATTCTCTGGTTTAGTAAGTTGCTCTTTTAAACAATGCAATATGAAATTCAATTTAGTTTTTTTCGATGTTATTTCTCAGAAAGCCAAGAACATGATCAAATTAATTAAATTAACTCATATATTTTTTTTAATCATAATCTAGACAATCAATTGCATAGAGTTTAAAATTATCTTTCTTGAAAAATTTTATTGTTTTTTCATTTTTATTTAAAAAAAAGAAAATTATAATTGATTGAGAAATAATAAAGATCTGGCAGTAAATCTTAAGCAAGATGGTCAATGAATGAATCCTAGAGGTGAATAAATGGTTGCAATATAT